CGCGCCCAGCCAAAGTGCGAGGCATTTCTGATGGAGAGCTTTCTCAAGCTTATTGCCAATTTCCCAAGGTTTACTACACATCAGGGGATTGTAAATTAGGAGTTGTCATTTACTGAGTATTGCTATGTGTTAAGCACTGCAGTGCACATCATCATGCATTATCTCATTTAATCCTCACAACAAAACTGTGTGTGGGTATATCATTGTACCCATTTAACAGATGAAGACTGTTAAATTGCCCAGCCTCTCTCTTTTTTTTTTTTTTTGAGACAGAGTATCGTTCTGTCACCCAGGACTGCAGTGCAGTGGCATGATCTCAGCTCACTGCAACCTCTGCCTCCTGGGTTCCAGGGACTCTCCTGCCTCAGCCTCCCAAGTAGCTAGGACTACAGGTGCATGCCACCATGCCCAGCTAATTTTTGTATTTTTAGTAGAGACAGGGTTTCATCATGTTGGCCAGGTTGGTCTCGAACTCCTGACCTCAAGTGATCTGCCCACTTCAGCCTCCCAAAGTGCTGGGATTACAGGCATGAACCACTGAGCCCAGCCTGATATATTCTTTTTAAAAAATATTTATTTATTTATTTTTTGAGATGGAGTCTTGCTCTGTTGCTCAAGCTGGAGTGCAGTGGTGTAATCTCAGCTCACTGCAGCCTTAAACTCCTGGACTCAAGTGATCCTCCTGCCTCAGCCTCCTGCGTAGCTAGAACTATGGGTACATACCACATTGGCCGACTAAATCTTTTATTTTTTTGTAGAGACGAGGTCTCACTTTGTTGCCCAGGCTGGTCTTGAACTCCTGGCCTCAAGTGGTCCTCCTGCCTTAGCCTCCTAAAGTGCTGGGATTACAGGTGTGAGCCACTGCACCTGGCCAGTTCTATCTGATATAGTCTTTCTATCACAGTAGGAAAAGTACTTTTTTTTCTTATTTGTTTTTTCTCATCAGGTTTTACTGACCCAGGAAAAGTACTTTTGGATGACAAAAATAATGCAGACTTTTATTATTATTTAAAAATACAAATTCAGCCGGGCGCGGTGGCTCAAGCCTGTAATCCCAGCACTTTGGGAGGCTGAGGCGGGTGGATCACGAGGTCAAGAGATCGAGACCATCCTGGT